TTGGCCAATCAACCGACAACCAACATTGTCGCTGGCTACTTTTGTTGTGCATTATGTGTGTCCATGTGCAACATGTGTGTGTGGCCAACTTTTTATTTATATACATATATGTATATGCATTTTTTTTCACAATTGGCTATACTTTTTTTTTCTCCCATATTAAAAACTGTACAAATATTGTGCAGGAAATGACAATTTTGTGCTGGCAGTAAAAGAGAAAATGAAAAAGAAGAAAAAAAGTGAGTAAACCGATTGTACTTTTTATCAGACTTGTTGCCAAGAGCACAAGAGCTGAGCAGAGCTGAGCATGTCTGCCAGGTAGTTTAGTTGACGTTACTACACCTGCTACCCCTAGCCCCGGGTCCCCACCCACCACTCACCCTTATGCAGCATAAATTGTAAACGCGCTTTGCATGCGCTTCATATTGCCAGCCAAGTGACATGGAAGCTTCTTTTTTTTCTCCCATTTTTTTTGTTGTTGCCGAGTTTATTAAAGTGCAAACGTGCGTATGAGTAATATTTTATATGCATACGATGGCTGGGCTTGAAATTAAGCTTAGGATTGCAGGCGAGATTGCATGGCATCGAATGAAATTGAACGAACGTGAATATGCTTAGTTTGTGCGTTTAACTGAACAGAATTGAAATGCGAATTGAATGATATGAGCAGGAGCACTGCATATGATTGAAAAAAAATTGAAAAATCGAGGAAAAAATGATTTAAATTAGAAATTGATTGAATTAGCAAGAATTTGATTGCAAATACACGAGCAGAGTGGCAGTTGGTAGAGAGCTTAAAGGAAATAAATGAAAATTTGCAGACTTAGCTTTTTTTTTTTTTTACAAGAGAAGCCAATGGATAACATGGAAGTTAGCTCAGTTTATACCTTTGAGTTCTTATAGAGTTTTAATAGCAAAAGCAGCAGATGTAGACATGTATTTATATTTATATATGTATATGTATCTTTACATTCCTCCATTTGGTAGCTAACAAAAGAAGCCTTCAAAAATGGCGCCACTATAAAATTTCGCTTTCGTTTTGATTTTGTGCTTTTCGAGCGCGCGTTATGCACAGCGTACATTTTGTTTTGTGCTACAAGCATTTGCATAACTGTGAGAGAGACAGAGAGAGGGAGAGACAGAGAGAGAGAGAGAGAGAGAGAGAGAGAGAGAGTGTGTGTGTGAGATGAAGTCTGAGCCAAGAGAGCCAAAAGAGCAGCGTTCTATAGAAAGCGGATGTGCCAAACACTTTATGCGCGTTTTGTCTTTTAAAATCCTTTGCAGCAACTTTTCATTTTTATGTGTGCCGACTTTGCCTTGCTTTTGTTTTGTTTTGTTAGTTTTTTTCTTCGTTTTTTCGTCTGTTTCTATTTTAGGTTGTGCGCCTGTCAAGCGACGAGACGCCGGCGAAAATTAAGTCATGAAAAGCGAAAGTCGAGCTGTAGAAAGGTTGTAAAAGAGCTGCGGGCAGAAACAGAAGCAGCAGCAGACGCAGTTGGGCGGCTTTAGGTGTTTCCTCCTGTTTCTTTTCTTTCTATTTTTTTTTTTTATCAGCACTGACATTCGCGTTATCAGCGACATTTAGAGCGCGCGCTCTTACTCTACCTCTAACTTTGTTTATTTATTTTTGTATTTTTTTTTAATGTTTTTACTTTCTGACACTTGCTGTCATTTTGCATGTGTATGTGTGTGTGCGTCTGTGTGTGTGATTGTTGTAGTTTGTCGACTGTGCCTGGCATTGTTTATAGCATATCACAACAGAGGAGTTTATTTTTTTTTGCGCTCTCCATGTGTGTTTCACATGCTCGTCACGTTCAACTTGTTATCCTGTGCGCTTATCACAAAATGTCTTATTTTGCCTGCCTGCCTGCCAGCCTGTCTGTCTGTCTGCTGGCTGGCTCGCTCTTGATTTTGCTTGGCTCGGCTTGGCTGGGCTGGGCTGGCCTGGGCTGGGCTCGGCTTGTTTGTCATTACTCGTGTTATATGCTTGTTGTTCTCTCACTCTCACTCATTCATTCTCCTTCACTCTCTCCCTCTTGGTGTGCCACAAAAAAACAAGGTAAAATGATGTGTTATGGCGTCACGTGACATGTGTCATATATGTTACCCATACGCCGTGTTGACGGTCTTCGTGGCCTGCCTGACTACAGCCACACATAAAACAAAAAAACAAAAAAAAAAAACAATGAAGAAAAAATCAGCTTTTTAGCTACTTGAAGTTATGCCGAGAAACACACACGTCACATAGCAAAAATCTTATCAGCGGAATCAAAGCGAAATTTGCATCAAATGTTTTGATTGATAATGGAAATGTTGTCGACACGAGGCTAAGTACATTATTTGAAGCGAATTATTAATGCACTAACTGCCAGTGTCGAGAGTGTGTTGGTTAGGCTGATATCGTGATGCTTCAAAGAGTTTTGAGTGCTTCTTATTGGATTCATACGATGACTCCAATAAGAACTTAAACTAGAAATGTCAGCTGAAATACATTCTAGCTTTCCATTTAATTACAAAATGGACATGAAGATGAAATGAAAGGAAATGTTTAGATATGTGGGTATTAAAATATAAAAAATTCCTACAATAAGAAGTTTAGAGCAACTATAAATCCAATTAGAACTGTTTAAGGTTAATATTTGATTGAGTTCCAATAGGAACATTATTTAAAATATCAAAATTGCCCAATACACTCTAAATAATATTGCAATAATTATAAATTATTGTGGAATTAGCATAAAAAGTAAACGAGGCCATTCTTAATATACCGATTCCCATTTAATGGCAACAACCTGTTGAGTCATTTGCTCAATTGCCAGGGCTGTCAATATGAGGGAACCATTAGTCGTTTCAGTTGATGAATGACCATCAATCTAATCGAGTGTCGCCCGTTACGTGTTCACTACATCTTGATAGCCTTTTCATTTAATTTGTTTATTAGCCGCTTCATTGTTGTGCGTAATGCATAAACTAATTTTCCGGCCAACCCAAAAGGGCACTCAATTGTCGTCGTCATTTTTCATGGAAATATATACGACTATACACACGTATGCATATATATGTATATTTTTCTGTATATTTTTAGCCACTGTCTAAAATTTTTGTCGCGTGCCGCAATTGAGTTACTTGAAAAGGGTTTTTCCTTTGGTTTTGTTTGCGTGCTGCCTGAATGAGAAACTTATCGTATTTGGTAAATATTTCGCTTGTTTATTTCTTACATTTCAACTATAATGTTAATTTGTTGTTGTTGTTGTTGCTGGCTTTTGGGTTAGCGTGCACTTCACGCCTTTCCATTTGTTTATTAACGTTTATTGTTGTTGTTGTTGTTGTTGTTGTTGTTGTTGCTGCTTCAGTTGTTTGACATTTTTTGTCCAAACAAGGGCAAAACAATTAATCAGGCACTTTTGTTTTCTTATACTTGTTCATAAAGTGAGCAGAGTATATTGGTTTGTGACAATGATTGGCTGTTCTATTTATTGGATTGCAAATCGAAATTCTTGGTGCTCTGATAGAATAGAGAGATAGAATGTTTAGGGTTGCACTCCAATAAGTATGACTGCAAATGAAAATTGACAAATTTATCTAGAATAATATCATTATTATTATACTTTTAGAATCAACAACTTTGGCATGCTTCAAGCTATTAAGTTACTCTAAAGAAAGTTCCTTAAATATTGACCTAATCTGCAGATTTATTTTATTTATAAAATGAGCACATGATAAAGCTAAAAATTAGTATTTTTATATTATTAAATTAATTTATTTCATTAAGTATTATGTAACTGCTTACGCCCGACCGCAATGAAAATACTTATTCGTCCAGACATTGGCAGCTAAATTTAATTGAATTAAGCCAATGACTCAATGACACTATAAACAAACCACGAAGCTTAATTAATTCGGGGCAAAAATTAAGCAATATAAAATTTAAATAAAAAATAGAGGGAGAGTTTGATGCATATTCCTGGCCAGCTAGGATTGTAGTTTTGCTCCTCTGTTTCCTCCTTTTTATGCAAAACACTTTAAATAAAACGTTTATGAATTGATATTTTAGGTATATGAATACAAATTTGGCTTCTAAAAAAAAAAGAAAAAAACAACGTGCACAATGTAAACATCAGCGCAAAGTGGGCGCTTACCACCCTCACACAATCACAATCAAGAATTCCCCCCCCAGCCATCCAACCGCCCGGCCAAGTAAGCCGGCAAGTGCGAAGCCACGTGCTTTTTCCGAATTTTGTTTTTGTTTTGCATATTCCGTTTTGTGCGCTAAATTCGTGTCCACTGGTCCGCCAGTCCGCCTGCTGCGTCAGCGTGGCTCGTCGCCTCGTGTTTTTGGCAATGGTTCAAATAGAAGAAGAGGAAGAACGCAACAACAACAACAGCAAAAAATCAGTTGGCAATTTTCGTTGCACTTTTGCTTAATGTTGATTCGCCTAGGCCTATTTTGGCTTAGGCATTCTTTGGCTCACATTCCGGCGCAGGCGCCATTTTGTCTAGCCTAGCCAGCAGGAGCAGCAGCGGCAGCAGGAGTAGCAGGAGCAGCAGCAGCAGATCTAAGGCTGTCTAATGTGCCATGTCCAGCTGGCTGCCTGCCTGAGACGAACTCCAGCGTTGCATTTGGCCGCTTTGATTAACTTGGTTTCATTTATTTATTTATATAAGCACATAATCTATTTAATTTCTTTGGGCACGTTGGCCAAGTCCTTTGCGGTAGGTTAGTTAGCCCACAGTGTTTTTATTTCACTCTCGCTCTCGCGTACGCTCCCATACTCGTTCTCGCTCGCTCCTTCTCTCTCGCTCTGTTAGGCGCCTTCTCTTTCTGCCTGCCTCTAGCTGTTCGGGTGCGCTCCATCTCAGTCGCACCCGTTCGCTAGCGAACAGATGTTTTGCTGGAACAGTTCGTTCGGCAAACGCGCGCGTTCGTGTTCGTGTTGTCTGTTTCGTTTCCATTCCGTTCCGCAGCCGCTTGCCACAGCCAGCGACTGCATCCTGTCGCCTCAGTTGTGTGGCAGTAGCCGCTTTGTAAACATTTTCCCGTTGTTTGCACCACGTGTCGTTTCTCCCGTCGCCCGTTGTCGTCGTTGCCTCTACGTCGTTCGTCGCCGTCTTTCGTCGTCTTTATCGTTCGCGTTACGTTACGTTAAACCAAAGAAAATAAATAATACGAAAATATAGAATACAAATAAATAAAGTAGTAAATAACGTTGCATACTCTTGCGGCTGTTGTTTGTGTTGCCCCGTTTCCGGATAGCCTCTCCAATCAGAATCTAATCAATCTATATTTATAACACATCTGTCTTGAAATTAAATTTTTGATTTTTTCGGTGCGTGTCTATGATTTAAGTGTATCGAAAGTATATAAAACCAGCAGCTAAACTAAAAATGTAAAGCATAAAAATTTTAAAAATATGTAAAAAATATATTAAGCATTATATTTATTAATTTTTGCCTTTGCTTAATTCAAGCTGTCTATAAAAATTGTTGACCTCTCCTTAAATTGTCTTCAGCAATTGCTTTACTATAGCATTTCAATATCTGCAATTTTAATGGCATCGGTCAAAGAAATTTGTGGTTACCAAAACTTCTGTCCCATTTGTGGTCAATGCGGTTAGCCAGGCCCATAGCCAGGGCTCAGTGTGCGGCTTGAAGCTTATCAATTTGATGTGTGGACAATACAAGTGGACATATAGATGAAACGTTTATTGGCATTTGATGGGCGAATGGCCTGTGTTTTGATCTTTATGAGAAGCGACTATTAAGCAATTTAAGAGAGCTTTGAAATTTGTAGAAAATGGCTTGCTATGGGCTTGATAGTTGCCCAGAGTGGAAGTGCATACAAAAATTATTTGATTTAAAGTTATATACTCGAAAATCTTAATGAATATGAATTTCTGCTTGTTGAAAGTTTTATTTATATATAACATATATTTCAATTAACTTTAAGCAACAGCTGCCTGCAATCTGCCAAGTTGCGAGCCATTTGCCAATGCAGCCACTTGTTAGATACACATTACACATACGCACTGTGCGCACATTATTTTCAACAAGTCATGTTTATCGATTCGTGTTACTGCTGCAGCTAAAAGCCAAAAGCCAAAAGTGTTAAGCATATAAATTTTATAAAGAATAGTGTGAAAGAAAAACCTGATTATATTTGAAGCTTTGCCTAGAAAAGTGTTGACATTTTTTTTTTAAGTTGCTCAGCTACAGTTGGCAAAAAATGTGTAAGTGTGTAAGTGTGTGTGTTGCAACTGCTGTTTCTTTTAGCTGGCTATGACTGTTATTTCTTCTACTTCTACAGCGTGTGTGTGTGTGTGTGAGCCCAGCTGTGCAATTGTTGACACCCACTGCTGAGAGTCGCAGCAGCCGGCGCGCTCCATTTGCCTTGCTGCTGCTGCTGCTGCTGGCGGCTGGCGGCTGTTTTCCACTGTTAGTCGCCTCTGGGCATCTCTTGAGTTCATTAACCCTTGTGGTTATGTCTGTAGTAGCAGTATATATATATATATTTATATATATATATAATAATTTTATGCGACACTGAGCAAGCGAAAGCCCACTACAAATTTAAAGAGTCGCCAAATTTCTAAACTTTTTGAACTTGCTCCTCAGTTCGTTCAATAGTTGCCTCATAATATAAATAATAATAATAATATTAATAAGAGTAATAGAAAAAGTCAAGCAGCAAAAGTTGAGCCAAAATTCGACCACTTCATTGGGGAAGTTTTTTGTTTTGACTCGCTTTATTGATTTTCTTCAACTTTTTTGCTACAATTTTTTGGCTGCGCTTTAAGTTTGACTTGACTGGCGTTAATTTCTCCTTTTTGTGCTTTTAATTTCTTCTATTGAACATTTTCGCCCAGAGAGAGAGAGAGAGAGAGTCAGTTGAGAAGGAAACTTTGCTAAATTGCACTCATAGTTTGGCAGTTTTTGTATTTTGTTGCATTCGCCGCTCGATGTACACAAAAATGTAAATTACAAACTTTGCAATTAATTGGCAAGTTTGATGAAGAGGTGAACGTGCCTTGGGTTCCTGATAAATATTTACCATAATAAAGAGTTTTCATTTCAGCATTTTCTTTTTGCCAATTAGCCATAAGAAACTTGCGGTTTGTGCTTGATAAGTGAAATTTTTTACCAAAGTTTTTAATTGTAATTCGAGCTGTACGTAGAGCTCAAAAGCTTGTTTTGATTTTTAATCTAAGAGAGAGTGGAAAGAGGCAAAAAGAGAGAGGGGCACACACAGATTCACCAAATGACAACAACAACAAACTGCTTTGAGTAGAACTCAAATTCAGTGAGAGGAACTCGAGCTGCTGCTGGCATTGCTTGTTCGCGTTTTTGTTTTGCATGCATCTGTTTGATTGTTGCTATTGTGGTTTGTGGTTACTAATACCCTGTAAATATGTAATAAAGCTATATGTGTATATATATATATTTTTTTTTCATTAAGATATCTATCACAAACCTTTTCCAGATTTTTCTGTGGATTTCGTTCTTAATTACTTTCAATTTCATTTTCCCTATTTTCCCATATTCACAATATTTGCCTTAAACTGCTTTTGAGAACTTCTCAAACCTATGAAAATGGCAGAGCCAGTAATTTGTTTCATATAAAAAATGATGAGTGATGCAGGGAATCGTCTAGCTTGGTATTCCTTGGTATTAAAGTGCTTTTGTTATTTATCTCGCTTGCGCTTTTCGCTTTCTTTTTTCTGCAGTCACAACGAGGGCAAGCCATACACACGCCCCGCATGCCCGTTCACATATACATATGTAAATAATCTCTCACATGTACTGCTTACACACAAGAAACAGGACAACGTGTGACAAGTGCAGGCGTCCCACAGCCAAAAAAAAAAAGAAGGAAAAGGGAAAGACTTTAAATAGATGCACACATAAATTGCGCTCTATATATTTATGCGCCGGCATATATGCAAATGCGTTCTTCGTGCCACACATAAAAACAGAAGCAAAACAACGAAAAGTAAAAATTGCCACTGGGGCAGGTTCTGGGCAAAGGGATGGGGGAGTAGGGAATGTGGGCTGGAGTACCGCATCTTTGTAATTTGCTTATTATCGTGGCTGTCTCGCGCGCCATCAGGAAGCATTGTTGTCGCTGCCATTAAAAGGGAAATTTGAAAGTAAATACAATTTTGTTGCATTTTATGATTGGAAAACAGCGTTTCCCTTGACAATTTGTTGTCTGCCATTAGACAGATTAAATCTGAGATCAAGCTAAACAAAGAGTGGAGCGTAAAGTGATTGCATTTCAGTTGATTTTCAGCGCTCTGAATTAGCACAATATTGATTTCAGCAAACCCAATCAAGAACTCTGCGTAAATAATGTCAAACGCAGAGTCTAACCAGCAAAAGTATTTGTCATGCCCAGCAGCTGTTGTGCCTGCCTGCCCGATAAATTCTATACCACACACACACACACACACACATACATATATATAGGCAACTACGCCCACTTCGTCGCCCATTGCACGGCTCAGTGCGCTTTGCTATTTGCACGCCTACAGATGAAGCAACTTTTGAACTAAATCCACCCTCAAGCTCAATATACCTGACTGAGACTTCACACACACACACACACACACACACGTATGCACACACACAATATCAAAATAGGCAATTGGAATGGGCAATGTCTGTTTTATAATTTTCACAGACGGCACACACTTCATAAAAAGGCAGCGCATGTGGCCATTATTTATGTATATTTTCACCTACATTTATTTTATTTATATATACGAAGCAAAACACACACACAGGCACACATACAGAAGGCTGCTGTGAGAGTAGTGATGAGGCAATGCCTTAGAGAGCATCAGTTTGTTCCTATATACAGTAGTAGACAACAAAATAAGTATGTGTGTGGTGTGTGTGTGTGTGTGTATTGGTAGTTAGCAATGAGGGCGGCATTAAGCGGCCTTCTTGAGTCTATGTGTGTGAGTGTGCTGTATCTCTAGGCGTTTGCTCGGCACCTTGTGCGACTTAATAAAGCGAGAAAAAAAGAAGGAGAAAATAAAAGACGACATGTTGACGCTGCAGCACCAGCAAATAAATATAAGAAACAATGTATTGGCAGAGCGTGCACGACTCACAGATACTCTGGCTTAGTTTACCCAAGAGAGAAGCAGAGGGATGAAGTGAGAATAGGCAATACAATTCATATTTAAGGAAGCCAAAATACGAAGGAAAAGTCTAAAAGATATATCAGCCTATGGAAATATAAAGTCGAAATCGTTTAGAGTATCTATAGATCGTCACGCATACCCACATAATATATAAAGAGCCTAAGAAATACAATGAAATTGATGTACTTCTTAGAAAGGAAATATTGAAATAAGAAAGCGCGTGCTACATAACTGATTGAAAGTTTAAATGTGCACGACGCGTCGTATGAGTAATTTATTGGCTTACATACAGCAATGTAGGGTATCTTTAGGCGAGACTGTTCTCGAAGCTTTCATCACTCTCTACAGAATCAAAGAGAGACAAAGAGCTAGCTTGAGCTGTGTAAAGTGTTCGCGTTTTGCCCCTGAACCACGTGGCGTATGAGTAATATGTGGTCATACAGAGCTAGAGTGTGCGCTAAATGAATGTATATTAAATTAAGTGTGTTTATATTATGGTTATTGCATTTGCATATATTACATATAAAATTGAATGAGGAAAAGTGAGCAACAAAAAATATATAAAAGAATAATAAGAAAAAAGAACTTTAAATTTAATTTATAAATTTATAAATATTGAGATAAATATGTAAATAATATACAATTATTAATTTACCTTTTTTTCTTAATCTATTGAACTGTAAATAGCTGCTTATTTATTCTTCATTCTGCATATGCCTTTTTCAAATTTGTTGTAACCCTTTTCCTGACGCAAATCCCCTTGAGGTCTTGACAAAATAATGTATATTATATGTTTAGCTAAAGCTGATTTAAAGCATTGCTATCTTAATACATCGACAGTTTTTTGCTTCATTTTTGTTTTTGTCTTCGTTTTGTTTTAGTTTTTGTCTCTGCTGTTTCTGGGTAAGCGCATTTATGTTGCGCCTTTGCTCCAGTCAGGTCTCATCATCATCATCATCAGCAGGATCTGAAAACTTGTGCTGCTGTCTGTCTGTCTTTTCTTTCTGTCTCTCTCTCTCTCTCTCTCTTTCTCTCTGGTTGCCCTTTTCGTCTTTCTCTCCATCTTCTTTTCGTATATTTTTTGTATTTGTTTCGTATTTTCGCCCACAATTCACACAGCTGACTTTTTGTTTTGTCGCCTCTGCACACACTTGCCAGACACTTGTATATACGAGTGTCTATATATATTTATATATATAAATGTGTATATATGTATATGTATATCACATATATAACAGCCAAAAGTCTGCGCTCTTTGGCTTTTTGCGCTTGAGTGTTGTGTTTTTGCTTTCGTCAGCTATGTCAGCTATTGACAGGCTGCTTCTCTCACAGCTCACACCTCACAGCTCACCTCTCGCAGCTCCTTCCGTCCCATGGCTGCATTTCGCTTTCAGCATAAAGTGGCTAGAGGGCAAAGCACACACAAATTTAAAAATGCTGTTACTGCGTGTTTAAAGCTCATAATTATCACGCGTTGCACATGGCGTATACGTGTTGGGCTCTGTTATTAATGAAAATTTATGCCTTTGCCGCTGATAATTGCACATTTGCTGCCGCTGCTCTTTAGTACTATGAAAATTTATTGTTTTTATGCATGTTTATTATTGTTAAATATATTTTATATTTTTTAATGCTTCAAAACGATTCGAAACTTAAATTGAACAACAAATATTCTCTGCTTACAGCGCTTTAACGACTTTATCAAATTAATACAGTCAACAACAAAACAAATACCATTGCATCATCAATAATTTATTAACAACAACAAGAAGAAGAACATTTGCATAAAACGCTCAAACGTCGTGTAAGCTTTTGAAAATTTTATTTAACGAAAAAGTATAAAAAAATTTACATATATATATAAAAAAAAAACAAAAACAAAAAAAAAATAAAAAATAAAAAATCAGGAATTAATGTAGTGCCTAATGCCTAATGTGTAATATTAACATAAAAATCGATAAAGAAATATCTTGAATATAATAACGAAATAACGGTATACACACACACATACATATATAAAGCATATATTTATTGATAAATTAATAACGCAAATAAGTAGAGCTAACAAAGTCAAATTAAATAGCTTTATTTAAACAGCAAATATTTAAAATCAATTTTGACTGCAAATTGAAGCGCGAGTGAGGAAAACATTTGCTCCAAATCGAAATTGTAAATAACAAATATAGTAAACAAGAAAACTGCTATATATATTTGGGTAAGTAATGCATTAAAATTTACATATAAATAAAAAATTAGAGTGGGGCTTTATGGGGTAGATGAAGTAATAAATATAGTTAGGTATTATACTATACTACTACTACTATAACAAACTCATGTATTGGTAATGAATCTATGTTTAAGTCCCATATGACCCTTTCACGTAACTTATTAACTTTATCATTCGAAGCGCTTTTCATTTAATTCTTTAGTCAATCCATTTCCTACTTACTCAGTTATAATTGTTGCCCATCTCTGGAGTTAAGTTGCTTCGCATCAACGCAGCTTATTTGCCATTTCAAATGGATTACATACACACATACATATACTACGTGTATTTAGAGTAGAGAAAGAAACTTTTGTGTGGCTGCTTCTTTAACTCATATAGCTGGCGGCAACAAATTTTAGCCTCATTCCCTTGTGCAGCTGCACCTGCAGCTCCGCCATTTCTGTTCGTTTCCGCTTCGCCCACAAACAAAACGTTGCCGCAAATGTCACATGCAAATTCAGTTTTCCCTTGTAACGGAAATGCAAGCGAAAAAGTAGCAGCAGCAGCAGCAGCGGCAAAGATTTTTATACATAACTTTTTATGTTGCTCATTGTTGAGACTTTGAGGCGGAAAAGAATAAAATACGCCCCATAGGCAATGAGTCTGTGTACAAGTGTATTTGTGTGTGTGTGTGTGTATGTGTGTGTGTTTACATTTGCGCCATTTTATTTCATTTTCATTTGCAATTTTCTTTTGCGTGTGCACATTTCCTGTGCGACATAGTCGTGACTTTTGCACTGACTGAGCTGAGCTGACGGACGGACAGACTGACGGACTGACTGAGTGGACTGACAGACTGGCTGGATGGCTTGACTGCTCTGACTCGTTGCTTCTTTTTACATTTCTAATTACACGCTCATTTTCAACTTGAAACGGAAGCCGCTGTGCCACCGAGTAGCTGCCGTAATGATGCTGCAGGAGCCAAATACAACTAGCTACTACGCAGCAGCTAACCCCACCCACCTCAGGAACACATCTACTACTTCATCCTTCTCTCTCTCTCTCTCTCTCTCTGTCTTGTAAACATGGTCGCTTATGCCGTTTAGTTTTATGCGCCCGACTGACTTTATGACTTAAGCTTAATGCGTGTCACTCTCGATTCCCCCAACGCATCGCTGATAAGCGCAAATTTCTTGGCAAATTATTTCACATGCTAGTTTCCTGCTTCTTTTGCTTGTGCTTCTTCTTTTTTATGATTGTGCTGTAATTAGTGTTGCCTTCTGGCTCGGACAGTGTATTTTATGGGACTGGACCAGCAGCAGCAGCAGCATTAGGCAGCATGGGCAGCACCATGGCCAGCAGGGGAATGTTTTTGGCTATTAGCCGTTAGCGGCTCATGCTATTATTTTTATTGTTGCGCACGTTCCTAACTGCAAACACAGGGTGTACTAGGTAAATAGGAAAAGTGAAAATGAGGAAGCTTAGTTGTGGATGTTGTGTAGAAAGGGCCAACAATAAATATTTAATTTAAATGAGGTATTACAAAAGAAGAAACAAAGAATATTATTTCAAACTCAAAAATCGATTAGATTTGGCTGAAGCTATGCACGCTTAAAGTAAGGCAATTACAATTATTCATTAATTATTGAAGTCAGGCATTTTCTCACTATGCAACTTTCGCTCCACCCATGCCCACCCAAAACTCTAATTTTAGCATTTAGCTAAAAGAGGTCGACAGCCTTTACTAATTGCAGCCTTAGACTGCATTTTGATAAAGCCGCGGGGCTTTTGGGCAATCGGCTTGACCTGTGACTTTGGTGACTGTTGCAATATTTGTTGTGCTATTTGCTCTAGTTGCTGCTGTTGTTGTTGTTGTTGTTGCATTTTCCTGGAGCCAAAGTAATTAAATCAATGTGCACGGCTGTTGTGCAAACGGTTTGGGTCTGGAGGCGCGTTTTAATTTCCATATTACGTGCGGCGATAGAATTTATCATCGGGGCACAAGCGCAACACACACACACACCCACACACACACACGTAGACATTTGGCCATGCAAAGCTAAACTAAATAAATTGCATAATCCACAAAACAAATTGGAAAATGCAAACCGAACCCAAACAATGAGCACACAATGTGCACAAGAAACGGCCAGACCCAGAGCCAAAGCCCACAAAACCCGAACCCAATGCAAACAACAGTGCCTGGTCATTAATATGGCCTACCAATGGATTTGCTGTTGATGTTGTTGCTGTTGTTTTGTATTATAGTTGTCCACAAATATTTATGCCAAATAACTCAACTTTTGCTAATTGCATATTTGGTGTTCATTAGGGTCAAATGGCAGCGAGTAGAAGGAGCAGGGGTATAGACTCGATTTGGCTCAATTCGACTAATGTTTGGACTTTGTTTAATTCCTGTAAATTCGTATACATATGCAAACGCATTGTAAATGTAATGAAAAGTAAATATATAAGGGAAATTATATTTTTTTTTTTGCTTGCACAAATGAACATGTATTTTCAAATTTTCTTCATTTGTCTGGTAAATGAAACCGAAATCTGTTGCCACAAACAAAGAGATGAAAAAATAAAAAACTTAAAAATGATATATATTGAATTTCGAATGCTCTTTTTTATAGAAAAAAATATTTTGTTGAACTGAAAATTTATAAAAATTTAATTAGATTAATTATTAAATTTTTTAAATATTTATATATATATATATATATATTTACCATAATAGAGAGAATACAAAAGAAAATTCCTATATTTAATTTATTAATTAATTTTATATTAATTTTATATATAAAGGATTCCAGATATGCGAAAAATTAAAAGACATTTTTATTTTTCACATATTTTCATTAAACATTTTAATGAATATTACGCAAAATAAAATTTTTAAAATTAATAAAAAATTGCTTGATTTGAAAATTTAAGAAAAATTCTGATAACATGTCAAAAATTTTTTTTGGGAATTAATAGAAATAGAATATAATAAATAAATAAAAAATTAAAAATATTCATTATGAATTCAATAAAAAATATAGATTGGAAAGAAAATCTATGATTTATGATCTGAATTATTTAAATATAAAATCAAATCGTAAAACATTTGTAATGGATGTAATATTACCTAAAATATTGTATCCAAGCATCTGCTGTGAGCAGCAAGCCTTGCATAACAATTAACTTACCTTTGATCAAAAGGTAAAATGTGCTCAGATGAAAACCAAATATATATATATATATATATAAAAGAGGAACAAAAAAATGAAAAATAAGTTGGAGCCCATACAACAATCACTCTTAAATACTTGCCACTGACGTTGCGCGCATATTGAAAATTCGTTACAATGATATCCTCGGGCGGCTTAAACAAAAAAACAAAAAAATAAAAAGAGAAAACAATAACAAATTACTTTTTTAATGCCAGTCCTGTACACACGCAGTATGCGGTATGTGTTCTTTTTGTGTATGTGTGAGTGTGTGTGTGTGTGGGTGTTCGACAAAAGATTTTGCTTGTTTCGGTCTGGGAAAACATTTTTCCATATTAAACCATCAGCCCTGCGGATGAAGCTACCTGCTGAAAATCGATTAAGCTTTTGGGTATAACTGATTGTTTGTTGGCTGTGGGACTCATCGGGGCTGCCGGCCGACTGTCGACTCGGCTGTTGATTGAAAAGTTGGCGTAACGGTAGTATGCGGCCGGCTACAACAAAAGAGACCAGCTAAAGCCGACGTTGCTGCTGCTGCTGCTGCCGCTTCTGTTGATGCTTCTGTTGATGCTTTAACGTGCAGACAATAACCAACATGTTTATGTTTATACGCTGGGGAATTTGCCAGAAAACCCCCATCGCCCGCACCCACAAACTAACCCAAACTTGAACTCCATTTCGTTCGCCCCCTCTCCCTTTATATTCTTTGGCAATTGTGTGCGAATGCTTTCTGCCAGCATTTTTGCTCTCGCCATTTGCCTCTTAAGCATTCCTCACTCGCAATCGCGCATTCGCATTCGTATCTCTGTTTAGCTGTTTCAAGGACACGCTGCTTTGATGAGCTAACCACACTCAAACCCACTCACAGCCACCAATATACTGGGAAGTGGGCTTCAGCAGTTAGTTATTCAATATTTTGCGCGTGTATGAAATTACTAAAAGGGTTTCTGTATCTTTGCAACATTTTTATACATATATACATATATATATGTATATATATATTGCTCTATGATGCTGGTTGACTGCCTGCGAGGCTGCTTGGCTTGGTTTATGTGAGCAGCTGTAAAAACATGATGGGCAGAAGTTAATGTGCATATCGTTAAATTCATAAAGCCTTTATATGTTGGTACGTACACACATAGATGCTAGCTGAAAATGTTAATGACTCGAAGAGAAATATATACTGCTTGGCATCTTTGTGGATATATCATAAAGCAAAAATGCCTTAAATTTCATTTTTTATAGCGAGCTCAACGCCAGTCAGATCTTTCGGCTTAAATGCTGAGGTAACGAGCGTTGTTTCTTTAAAAACTTTGCATTTTTAATTTCGAGACTTGCCTATGATGGATGATGGCTGTTGATCCTGTAAGTCCTATAAATTGAAATTGTGAAATATAGTAAGCTGTCTGAGATAT